GCTTCCACCCGGGGCCCTTTCCCTTCCCTCTTGCCAAGCCAACTCCTAGTTATCCTCCAGGTCTAAGGCCTAAGCTCCAGCACCACTTCCTCCGGGAAGTCCTCCCTGATGTTTCTGCCTGGGTCAAATCCTCTTTTACTGCAAGTTGCCAGAGCACCGGCTTCCCCTTCCTCCATAGCGCGGCTGTTATGGTCACGTTCACATTGAATGAGCGATTGCTTAATCCATTAATGCATTCTAAGGAAGGTGATGTCATTGTGCATCTGTTTCCCTGGGACAGTTCCTAGTAAGTATTTCTGTCCCACTGCCATTATGAATAGTAGCCCTCTCACTCTCAAAAGTGTCCTACTTTGGATGATAAACCCTGGCCATCCCGATGATAGCCCACCCACCAGACTGCAAGCTCCATGAGAACACCAGCAGTGTTTGTGTCTGCTTATCACTGTCTTCTCAGCACCCGGCTCCCAAGAACCAGGCAGATCCTGCTTGGATACTTACAGCCCAGCCTTGGAAGCCACATGGCCTCACTTCCAGCACATTCTCTTGGTCGACTGGACCCCTATCGATGAGCCTACGCTCTCAAATAATTCAGTCATCAGATAGCTCTTGATCCGGTGCTCCTCTCTCTTGTCGCATAGTTAGTGGAGGGCCCATGAAAAGGGTAGCAGTCTTACGCCAATTACCATGTTTCTCTTTTATTAGTGTAGATAACATCATTCGCCTAACATAATTCACTTAATATAAATTTATGTTGCTATGAAAAAAGCTCCTAGGTTTGTTGAATTTCAAGTCCTGCCTGTGGTTGCCTTGGCAGGACCAGATCAAATGATTTTGCAGGCCTTATATGGCCCTCATCCCTGGTGAAGAGAAATGAGGTTCCCTGGGAAGTACATTCTGCTCTTGACCAATAGTGGCATTTCCCCTAGGCTTTGGCCTAGTTCTCATTATCACAATCATCTGGTGGACTTATTATTAGAGACATAAACTCATCTGGACTAACCAGGAACTGGATTTGGGGGAAATGTATATTTCAGTAACTTCAGTATTTAAATGGTAAAGTGTAAGGACTGTTGCTAGCTGAATTAATCCCTAGAGCACCCTTCACATTTTTTCTTTGAAAAAATATAGTTTATTAAAGAACTATCAAAAATAGGTGTATATTTGGTATAAAATAAGACCTTATACTCCATAATGGCAGAGGCAGTGCTTTAGTGCTGTTACTCTGGCACTTTGAAAAGTGATTAGGGCATAGTGGGAACACGTGAAAGTCTTTATTAGTAGAATAGATTAGAATGTGTGCAAATGAATACAGATATTGATAATTGGGTTGCAAGTAAATTTTTTTCTTTCATTTTAGGATATTTACATTACCCTCTGTGAGCTACTAGATTGCCTGGTTTGGAAAACTGCTCCATGTTACCCATTGACCGAAAAGCTACACCAATAGTCTGATTCAATATAGACATTTGTCCAGTATCATATAAGTCCACCTTTTGTCCCTATCATCATGTAAGATCATTGAAACTTCCTTCTCTCTATGAAACACTGCAAGAGCTAGTAAATTGTAAATGAAACAATGTTTGCTTGTTCCTCTTGATTATTGTTTTTCTTAATGTAGGACTTTTGAAAGGCACTGTGGATTTTCTGTTTTGATGTACTGTTATAAAATGGGAAATTGACCCCTTTGATCTGGCCCCTTCTGAGCCAAGGTTTATGTGATTTGATTGCATAATTTGCATCAGTAAGGTAAATGTTTTCATTAGTCTCTCTCTGTTCTGATAAGCATTGTGTAATTTAATTCCAGCCACGAGTTGGATGGCACCCATCAGAGTTGCCAGATGGTGGTAACAGTCTCTGACCTAAGGTACCCAAGACTAAAGGGCACTACCATTTCTGTGACACATCAGATAGCAGCACACTTATACTTTACATTTCCTTGCCTCCAAGTTCAGGTGTTTATATTTCCTCCATCACTTGAAAGGTTCTAATTAATGGTGTTAGAATTAGTGTATTTTCCTGAGAAATTTAAAGCAACTCATCTTCATTAGCTTTAGCTGGTATTATCTTACCAGATTGATATGACTTAATTATCAATATCATGGTCAACTTTAATAATCTTAGTTTTGGTTTATGCCTTTGATTCATAAATATGACTTTTACACAAGAACTATTGTTTTCCTGTAAATTCGTATTTAAATTCACTTTTAGAAACTACTGAATGGTTATTTTCTACTGAGAAAGCTAAGCCCCATATTTCTATTTGGAATACAGTTTTAGATATGAAATGTAGAACTGAGCTATTGACTATGAGTTTTTTTTATTCATTTATTGCTTTCAGTTTTATATCCCACATATGAGTGAGATCATGTTGTCCTTAACTTTTTCTGTCTGACTTATTTTGCTTAGTATAATATTCTACTTGAAACCTATGTAATCTTATTAATCAATGTCACCCCAATAAATTTAATTTAAATAATAAAATTGCATGTGAAACATTAATGTCTCTGTTTACAGAAACTTATTCCCCGTGAAAAGATTACTTTCCTTGTTATGAAATAGCAAATTCTTAGCATTCTCCCAAAGATCAGACTTTTAAAATTAGACCTGAAGATGGTGACCGGCAGGAAGCTAGGAAGGGAGAGAGTGTGAGAGAGTGAGGGAGCGATAGAGGAGTGTGTGGATGTGTGTGGTGTGTGTGTGTGTATGAGCTAGGGACAGCTAGATTCTGCAGGTCTTCCAAGGGGCTGCCAAACTGGGCAGTCTTAGATGGCAGAGCCCCGCTCCCAGCATGGACACTCCTGGGTGGCCAGCACGGGCACAGAGACCACGTCATCTTGAGAAACAGAACTGCCTGAGACTAGTGTCCTGGCCTCAGCACCACCCAGTCTGGTCTCAGACGCAAACCAGGACCCTGCAGCCACTGGGGACAGAGACCTGTGACCACAGCTGCAGTCCCACAGACACCTTTCAATAATAACTTTAAACATAAACGGAC